GACGGTTCAGCATGAGCTCACCCTGAGTGCTGTTTCAGACCCCTGTGATGCAAGGCCTCATAGGTTACAGAGCTGTTGGTGGAAGTTAGACATGTCACAGAATAACACAACGCTGTCCTTATTTTCCCCGTCCAAGTCGAAGGATCACGGTTAATTGTCAGGTAATCCCTTTTATTATTTGGCACAGTCATTAAGTATGTAACTTACAAATAAAAAAGAGAGGATGATTTGTGAAGTAGAGGAGCAAATTGCAAAAATATAAGTTGCAAACTCATAAATTAAACAAGAAAAGTCATCTGGATCTAGGGCCATTTTTCCATTATAGGAGTTCTGGGAAATTTCTGGGAGTAGGAAGAGGTGACAGGAAAAATACGATGGCTTGGTCCTCTCAACGCTAATGTCTCCATACAAAATTGTCCCTTTTCAAAGACGTTAGAATATCGCAGCCATCTTGGCATGAGTGATGCCACTGATCAGCACCACAAGGCACACACAGAGACTAATAACATTTAAGACATTTTATTCAGTCAAAGTACGCCATTCAGGGGAGAGAGAGAGAGAGAGCAGATGTGCAATGTAAAAAGCGTCATTTTTACGGCTTCCTGTAGGAGACCACAAAGCGGTGTAAATTACGGCATTGTGCAGGTGTTTCCGTCACATTTTCTTGGGTTGGGAGTTTGGAAACAGCAATTTAAAGAAGTGTTGATGCTGCCAGTTTCCTTTTCTTTCTATTACAGTGGACCAGCTACTTCCAATTTTACTAATGCTGGTTGTTTGGTGATGTTGGATGATACCATTTCCTACTGAGTTACAACCAATCAGCGTGAGTTAACCATAAGTCCCATCTGGCAAATCTACTGAAACATTTCAGAGTACAAACCCCAATGTAGGTACTCGATTCAGCCATGAAATGGTCTGGAAAGCGGTCCCTTTGGTCCGGCTCGGTGAAATGGAGATACACGCTTCCTCTGAACGTCCGGTAAAGTTACCCAGAAAGTCCAATAATGGAAATGGCTTCATTAAAGACCATAGTGCCACTGCAAGTGATCTGTGAAATAACGTCAACTAACGTAAACAAACATCCACTGAATATGATTCTCCAATAGAGGTTGGTGACATTGGACCAAAATAACTAGACACATTTTTTGAGTGTTTAAGTCTTGTTTGTGCAGATGGACAGCCTCACTTTGGATGACTGATGAAACTAAAACATTCCAAGTAAGCTGTAACTATGTGCAGCTAAACAGGTTTAAGGAACAAAAACTTGTCTCGTCGTGTCTTCATCCGCCTATCCGGGTCCAGGTCGTGGGGGCAGCATCCCAACTAGGGAGTCCAGACTGTCCTCTCCCTGGCCACCTCCACCAACTCCTCCGGCAGGACCCCAAGGTGTTCCTGGGCCAGTTCGGAGATGTACTTTCTCCAACGTGCCTTGGGTCAACCAGGGGAGGACCTGCCATCAGAACATGCCTGAAACTCCTCCCTGGGGAGGCGTCAAGGAGGCATCCTAACAAGATGCTCAAACCACCTCAACTGGCTCGTCTCGATATGGAGGAGCAGCGGCTCTACTCTGAGTCTCTCCCGAATGTCCGATCTCTGCGCCCTATCCTGAGGCTGAGCCCAGCCACCCAGCGGAGAAAACTCATTTCGGCCACTTGCATCCTCAATCTTGTTCTTTGAAGAAAAACATAATTACAAAAACTGCTAAGTCTTTGAAACACATTGTTATCAAACCACCTCACTTCTTTACATTATCTTTATATCGGACAATGCTACATCAGATGACTTAAAGACTAACTTTTCTACAGAATAAAATCCCAATGAGAACGTACCAATCTTCATGTGTCAGGCTTATTCAAAAAGAAAACATGTACTTAAAACAGCAACGAGGTCTCACACTGGGTTCAACTTCTCATTTTATTTTCCTCTCCTAACATCAAACACTCAGCCCTGTCTTCCCGCGCTGAGGAACAGATCTGAGACTTCGCGTAACCTTAACCTCTTTAAACTGAGCGTCTTTTCTTCTTGTAAAATTACTATCTCTCTATAAATGTCACCGCTGACAAACTGCGAAAGGATGGTGTAACATCTCCACCAGCTCCTTCTATTAAAAGGCTCCTTGCCCCCTGAGCTAGACAATTCAAAGGCACTCCTGTATGACGACTGTCGGTGTGGACTGAGGCCGGTATGAAAGGATCATTGATGTTGCAGCTATATCCTCTTGAGAAATCTGTCGCCAGAAATAGGCTTTCAGACTTGTAAAGATAAAGCTGATTAGATTTCTAAAATGACACTGTAGTGGATATGGTATAATACATAAATTACATTTGATTAAGCCTTTTAACGAAGGAAATTAAAATTGCAAGACCTATTTTCTCTAATAAAAACCTGTTTATTCACTAACTATGCTTAAATTATGTGTTTTTCTCCATACCCTGGATGAAATATAGTCACTTTTTAGATTTAACAGGTCAAATGTTGTTACTCAGTTAAGTTTTTCATATGTAGATCATCTATATTTCTGCCTCCCTTTCCCCCTTAATTTTTTAAATGAAAAGTTTGCGCCTCTTTATGCTGCCTCCACTTTCTTAACATTTCTGTTGAGGCATTTTTGCAGCATTTTTATTTGTCTGCCCTTTTGATTCTGGTCACCTTGGTTGGTCTTCCTGCTTGACATTTGAGTCTGAATGTGGTACGGTAAATCTGAACTGCAATAAAAGGATGTGAGGAAGGGGAGGAGAGGTGGAGGGAGTGGGATGTCTCACAAGTTCACAGAGCTGAGTTTCATATCAGCGCCAATTCCACTAAATACACAATGTGATGGTGGATTAAATATCATTTAAATCAGTGCACCAGCTTTTTCTTTACAGTGTGTCTCACTGGTGGTATGCAGGGGTGGATTTAGCAATTTGGGGGCCCAAGGTGAACACAGACATGGGGCCCCCTTACACAAAATTTTCGACAATCTTACCTTTAACTGGATTTGCAAAACTCTCCCCTCTTCTGCCATGAATTGTTTTCCCTTTTTATTAGTCCTCTGCTTTTTTCCTGTCTTTCCCTCCCTTTCAGCGCTTTCAATATTTGCTCTGCTTTCTTTTTCCTGTCAGTGCTCCTGTGCTTTTGCCTTTGTTTATTTTTTCTATTTTCCATTTTGGTCTATGTTTTCTTCCTTTTAAACATTTTCAATTGTCTTTCCTTTCTGCTTCCTTTTGATGTTTACATAGAAAAACAACGTCACTTTTGGAAGTGAAGATAAAATCTTATTTGAAGCAAGCTGCTTTTTTCTCTTATTGGAGCCACTAGGATAACTCCATTTCACGCTTAATGTTTTGACTATCGCTTTGAGTTTGTTACGAACACTCCCGCCTCTCTTCTTATTCTTATTTGTGGTCTTAAGGCACTTGGCAAACAATAATTTGGCACTTTACTACCACCAACTGGATTGGAGTGGAAGGACTACCAATCACTTTCTGTTTGTGCATCGGCATCTTAAAAGAATAGTCCATTGTGGCATTAACAGAGGGGTGTCGGCAGTCAGGGCTAGGGGGCCCCTGAACATAAGGGGGCCCCAGGCGGCCACCGACCTATGCCTAATAGTAAAACCACCACTGGTGGTATGGAAAGGGAAGAGAGTAAAAAGATGCAACAAATTTTGTTAGGTCGGATAATACATACATACTTTTTATTGTTTCATTCATCATGGAATTCCAAACTTGGATCTGGAAGTGAGGTCAGTCGCCACTTTACCATGTTCTGGTTGCAAGTTGGAAAACTATTAGGATTTCTTAATTTTGCCCTCAGTGACCAGGCTAACTGCTATAACACATCAATACATTATGGTTTATATTGCCAATCCAAAATGCAAACATCAATATATTACTTATTTATCAAATGTACTTTATTTTGAAAATAGCTTTATTTAAAAGTTCTGCTGACAATGACCCAGAACTGAACTCTGAGCAGTGTCGATTGGTGTTGGACTTTCTGACAAAGGTCCCAAGTGGTTAGGGTGGGCAGCTGAGTGTCCAGCACCATCACTCTCAGTCTTGGTGTTCCACAGGGATGTATTTTAAGCCCACCACTGTACTCCTTGCACCTCTAAATGTACGGCCACCCACAGCTCCATCTCCATCATCAACGGCATATTAGTGCTCAGTCTCATCTCCAACGATGCGTCAGGCTTCAGAAGTGAAGTGAAGAGCCTCAAGAGATGGTGTCAAAGCAACAACCTCCAGCTGAACATCAACCAAAGAGATGGTGGTGAACTTCAGGAGAAAACAGCAGTGCTCTTACTAAATTGATGATGCTCCAGTGGACAGAGTAGAGAACACCAAATACCTTGGAGTCCAACTCACAGACAAACTCAGGAGGTCTACCCACATCCACAATCAGGTCAAGAAGGTGAGACTGTTGCTGTATCACCTGAGGCAGCTGAGGAGATTTGGGGTCTCTTTCAGGATCCTCAAAACACTTTTCACAGCTGCTGTGGAAAGCATCCTGCATCACATTATGGTTTGGCAACAGCACCATACAGGACCGTAAAGCCCTGCAGAGTGTGATCAGAGCAGCTGAGCGCAGCACAGAATAATTAGACTTTAGTCAGCACCAATTCTAAGATTTTGAACAGATGTATCTCAAGTCTCGTTGCTTTGCCAGTTTTGAAATTAAGTAAAGACGATTATAAATTAGCTGAGTTTTCTCCACAAAAATGGAACAAGTGCTATTTCCACCGATGAAAAAGGACACAGTCTGTGTGGAGAGTGGTGAGAATCTAAATATTGGAGGTTTGGGTAATTAAGTTTTTATTGAAATGCTGGGAAGAAGAGCTAGAGAGAGCAGTTTTTCACTATCGCAGTGTATTGGCAGTCACTCCCACAAAGCAGCTTAGGAAATAAAACAGTTTGTGTCTTTATGTTTGTTTAAGATGAAATTACATCTCATTTCCACCTTTGTCTCCCCGCCCTCCCCCCCTCTGTCCTTCTCCGTTTCTTTTCTTCTTCTAGGTAAGTGACAAAACAGCCGAGATTATATCTGAAATTAAGATGACCCAGAAGGTAACGTGTTTGTTGAATATTCTGTTGTATGTGATTAGTTTGATGCTTGCCAAAGTAAAACATAAAATAAAGATGCTCCAAATTGCAGATACATAAAATTTGTCCTTGTCTAGATTCATGGAAAGGCTCCATTTCTTCCTAAAATAAAAATTTTCAAGAACTTCCAGTTCTTTCAAAGCCTTAATCTTTATTCGTCACCAAATCTACTAGAGCAGGAAATGAGATTATGTGTATCAGTGGATTCTTGAATCTGACGTAGGTTCAGATGAATAGCATCCTTGCTTCACGATTTCTTCTGTTGCTTTTCGACTCAGAGCGGTGATAAACCCCTTTACACCCATTTACACAATCATAACCATAGTGACACATTGGGAATATGTTGTGGTTACAACAATAACTTCCTCCACCCATTTTTAAGTTAATCACCAACTGTAAGGTCGCCCGTTAGTTTAATGGGCCTATCATGGGCATCGTGTGCTTTCACATAATGGTGCTGTTGTATTTTGCTGCCAATCTGTTTATCTAATCAGATGCCGAGGGTAGGGGGTCTATCTCATTAACTTGCAGAATATTGATTTCCCGTGTCAGGACAAAAGCACGTTGCAGTTGCCTGCTTCTACACTCCCAGATGGGAGGAATGCCGGTTGCCTCCCTCGTAGCTCACCAGTCGATCCCGCCTCAGCTCGCAGTTGTTGTGTTCTGGGGTGTGAGAGTTTGTGTTCCTGCAGTCATGCCTGGAAGTAAAAATGGCCACTAAAAAAAAGATTGACGACTCAAGTGGCATGTTTCGTGTACAAAGGCTGTTCTACAGCAAAACAGAGATGGATGGTGTTGTAGAAGATTTAGTAGCAGAGTTCGTGCTGTCTTTAGACAGGCTATCAATCGTGGCAGAAAGGTCATAGTAAGGATGCACCTGTTCTTAACACGTCTGCAGATGCAGTACATGTGTAAAAGTTTCATGCATTTCCTTTTGTTGATGAATTTTTCTAAATGGTATCAACAGTATTTATATTTTGACATAGGTCCTACATCTGACACTTAACATTCAACGTTTCCACCAAACGTGCCAAATCTCAGTTTGAAAAGCAGACTAAAAAATTTTATTTAGTTAAAAGCTCCAACAGCACTGAAGGATCCTGGATAAACAGCACCTAAATCTACTTTATAGCTCCGTGGCGTGCAAGTGTCACAGCTAACGCCCTTCTCACACTTTATGGACCATTGAGATTGAAATTGTTGCATTTCTACCTTTCTGCCGCTAAGCGTTGTTGTAGTAAACGTGTGGAAAGTCCTGCTGTTTGTGACAAATGCGTGGGAGTGGCCTCTGTTGCAAAGAGCACATAAGTGTGAGTGTGTGCCAATTACTGCAGTGAGGGAGGGTGGTGTGTTTGTGTGATGGCAATGCGTCATTCTGCGACTTGCAAAAGCCCTGGAGCTCCTCTTCGGTGTCTCCCATGCTGCTTCTGTTATGCAACGAAGCTATTCTCTTGCTCTCTTTCTGTCTCCCTCGCTCTCTTTCTGTTTCTCCTCTCATCCTTCTCGACTTTTTGTTTTTGTGGATTTGCTGTCATTGCACCGTATAGATATTTTTGGTGCGGTTTAAGTGAGATTTAGTGGGGGATCATCTGTGCCAATGCGGACCTCAGCACTCTATTCCACCATGCAGGAATCTGCAACTCTTAGAAGACACATTTTATATTTATTTGGACACATTCACCCATTGTTTAGCATTTACTGCATGCTCCTTTCTGGCTGTACTTTTTCTGCTCAGCATAGCTGTATTCTCTCAGTGCCTCCATCTCCACCCACTCCATCTCTGCAGTATACCTTCCTTCTGGTGAAGCATATTAGTACTCCCTGTTTGCCAGTCCCTTTAAACAGTGCTACCCTAGAGAGCTACTCCGTTACCACTGGTAGAAAAGAAAAACACAAAAGGAAGAAACGCAGCATTTGAAGCTTGAAACAGGATAAAAGAAGGATTGGATTGTTGTTGTTTTTAGCACTGAAGAGCTTTTGATGCTACACCACAACTGGTGCTGAAGCTGGTTCTTAAACAATAAACAGCCAATAAACATTTGGTTTTTCACACCAATTAAAGGGACTTTACGGAGATTTGAATTTTTATGCTTGCGATTGCCCCCTCAGGCCAAAAGCATAACGGCAGCTTCAATAGTAGGATCGTGCACGAGGTGCGCATGCTGTATGTGCACACTCCTTAATGAAAATAACAGCTGAGACAGTCAGCTCCGTGTGTGTGTGTGTGTGTGTGTGTGTGTGTGTGTGTGTGTGTGTGTGTGTGTGTGTGTGTGTGTGTGTGTGTGTGTGTGTGTGTGTGTGTGTGTGTGTGTGTGTGTGTGTGTGTGTGTGTGTGTGTGTGTGCGTGCGTGCGTGCGTGCGTGTGTGTGTGTGTGTGGGTGGCCCGGAGGACAGAGGACAGGAGAACACGCAGCTAATTAATTAAATAATTTGGTTCTGTACCTTTCTCTTCAGCACAGCCGACAAAGGTTTATGATGGGTCAGTCCTCCTGCATGCTCAGATCATTCCCTTCCCTTGCTTGAAAAATTGTTCCAAAATGAAAGTTGAACCCACATCTTTTTTATCTGTGAATTCAATGCCGTTCGGCGAGTCTCAAATAAAAATTTGGGCGTCTTACTGTAAAAAAAATATACCATTAATGTAAAAAAGAAACTAAATAACCTTTGTTCACATCCAGAATCAAACCCACGTCTTCTGCACGAGAGTCCGACGTCTTGCTAGGCGAGCTAACGCACCAGTGACATCACTTGTATCTGTACTATTTAAGAACGGTTCGGAGGGCTATGCCTGAGCGTGAACGCGCATGAAGCAGCCTGCTCGACCCGAGCAGCTCTCTTTTTCTGTGATTTTACAGAAAAACAGGCAATCACAGTAAATATGCCAGGGCTCATTCTACAGGACCAGGGCATTGCAGGAGAATGTATGAAGAAGAAATGTATTATTTCTATACATGTTTTGGCTGTCAAACTTCCATAATGCCTCTTTAAATGTCTCTTCCAGTGAATGTTTTGTCCTCCATCTGTTAACGCCTTACAGTGAAGGGAGAGTTTTCAGCACGCATCACATGGTTTATCTTGTTATTCCTGGAAATGGATGTATTAACATCAACAGGGCGTTCTATAAACAGGGATGCACCGATCAGGTTTTTTGCTGCCGATCACCAATATCGATATCAAACAATGCTGATCACCGATACCGATCACGTGGATTTGCCAGAAATTTTCTACAACATTATCATGAGTGCTACAAACTACATAATCTGGGAATAAAGGAAATGTAACCTAATCTAAAATGGTCTGATCGGTCTGCTTTGATCTATTTTGAAAACTCCGATCAAAACCGATAGGGGCGCTATTGGCCGATTGGGATCAAATGCTGATCCATCGGTGCATCCCTATTTATAAACACAGATTTAAACAACAGTCTGTGTTTGTGAGTGCTGTTTACTGATCTCATAGGATCCATAAACAAAGCAGGAGGGATTTTTCAAGTGCTGATGATGTTTCATAAATGGTAGGGATGTTCCGGGTCCGATCACGTGTTTTTAAAAAGGATCGGAATCGGGAGAAATAAATCGGATTTAACGTTTTAAAGCAACAAACATGACTTTTTAAATTAATTCTGAGATGGAGATTTTCAAGTAGAATAAAAATGGCTTAGTTTTAATTTCAGTAAGTTCCTCTACATCAGGGGTGTCGAACTCAAATTCACACTGGGCCAAAATGAAAAACTGGGACGAAGTCGCCCGCCAAACTCAGGATTTTTTTTTTAAAAAGTGACTGTAAATGTGCACATTTTCCTTTATGTACAGATATGAACGGTGGAACCTTTTCTTTTGGAAACAAACTTATTTTTGCAGTAACACTGAATGTGGAATAACCAAATTACACACGAGCAAGTCGATTTTAAATAAAGCACACATCAGTGGTATTCATTACGTACGTCTCAATTTTGTTTAAATATTTGTATTCCTTAAAATCTGCATATATTTAGCATTTCTTCTTATTTTTGAATCTTTTAAGCGTTTCTATTTTATGTTTTCTTGTTTATTCTTTATTTTTTACTCTCCTTTGTTGCTCCTGTAATGAACGTTATTGCTGCTGTGACACCAAGCTTTCCCCACTGAGGGACAATGAAGGGACTTTCTATTTTATTTCTATTCTGTTCTTCTATCTGTAATCTGTCCTGTGGGTGAAATCTTTTTTCTCAGGCCAACAACATAAATGAAAATGAAAATGCAAGATCTCATCTATTAACTTTCATGCTTTGGAGCAGAAAAGGTTAATAAAAGCAAAATAATTCAACCCCAGTTTTCTCTACTCTGATTTCCTGTGATGCTCACCTGTTCCGGCCAGACCTGCATCTGTGGGGTTGGGCTCTGAGCTGAGGAAGGAGTTAATTGGTGAGAAACAGTTGCTCACACAGGTTTGTGCTGCGGGACATGGAGAGCATCTGGACCATGCAGTTGTGTCGGGGAGGGGGATAAAGTCGCAGCAGCCAGAGTCATACTGACTTGAGCGTGTCGCTAAACTGGAGTTACAGTAAGACATCTCGGTCTGGAATTTGGTCGGTGCGCTTTCTATGTCAGCAGCAAACAGATTACAGAGCTGTTAAAATCATCTTAAACGATCAGTTCTGCACCGAAATTTTTTTTTCTGAGCCGTGGCAGCGCGAAAATGACGTCACTCACCTCCGTGAGCTCTGTCCTCAAGACTGCTCTTTCTTCTCTGCTCCACGGACCACAGGCCGCGGTGGAGGAGCAGCTGTTATCTTTAAAAAACACTTTTCATGCCAAATAATATCCTCAAGCTCCTACAGCTCATTTGAGAGGATCATGATTAAAATTGGTCGAGTTCTACCAGTTTATGGGATTCTGGTCTATCGCCCACCTGGGTCTACTTCATCCTTCTTGTCTGACTTTCAGGACCTCCTATCTTCAACTGTTAAACTAGACAGGATAATCATTGTTGGAGATTTCAACATCAATGCTAACAGCTCTACTAGGGAGCTCCTAAACATGAACTCTTTTAACTTCTCTCAACACGTGTCTGGACCCACTCACAGAGCAGGCCACACCCTGGATCTGGTCTTGTCTTATGGACTTTTTGTTGATAAACTGCAGATAAATGATGCTGTGTGTTCAGTGACCATAAGTCAGTTTCCTTTCATATTAACCTAAATTCCGGAAAAGTGTGGCTTGCCAACTCCGGGTCGGGAGAGAGGTCCTACCTCAAGTGGAGGAGTTTAAGTATCTCGGGGTCTTGTTGCACGAGTGAGGGTAGGAGGGATCGGGAGATCGACAGGCAGATTGGTTCGGCGTCTGCAGTGATGCGGATGCTGAGCCGATCTGTCATGGTGAAGAGGGAGCTGAGCCAGAAAGCCAGGCTCTCGATTTACCGGTCGATCTACGTCCCAATCCTCACCTATGGTCATGAGCTTTGGGTACTCTGCGACCTAGTGGCGAGTCATTGCACTGGGAACACAATCACCATGCATTCTGGGAAATGTAGTTTATAGTCAATGTGCACTTTGAAGCAGCATAGACTTATTTTAAGACACTTGAATCTCGCGGGCCACATCAAATAATGTGGCGGGCCACATCTGGCCTTCGGACCTTGTGTCTGACACATGTGCTCTACGTCATCAATATTTGTTTCAAGAATGAAAACAACACTGTAACGTCACACAATTTACGGCAGGCAACGACTCAGACACCAAGTGCCGCTGTTAGCAAGCCAGCTAACACAGCGCTAACGTGTCTCCTCAGGAGAGCTGAAATATCTGCAGCTTGGTGGTATTTTAAACCAGACAGCAAAGTCAGAGCTACACACACTTGTAATGTGTGCATACTGAGCATTCAACATGCTGGAAAGGTTACAGCTCCATGATTCGCTGCCTTCAAACAAGCAACTTTCTCTGTCGGCATTTGGTGTCCGTCAGTTTTTGAGCTCTTGGTAGTGAAAATCTAAACATGCAAAGCAACGTCTGCACCCAGATTAACCCTTTATAGGGCCGGTACCTGTAATTGGACACCTTCACTAAATTCACAATAAATTATGTCAGTGAGCCTTTTCATGGACTCTTAATATTACGAGATTTCACCCAACCAACCGTCAGACATCAAGCTAGTTACAGTAAGCGTCATGACGGCATTCGACCAATCAGCATGGGTCTGTGATGCGCTAAGTATTGGCGTGTCTGCAGAAGCGGAAGACTGCCTTCCTGCAGCGCCATCTCTTTTTGTGTTTACCGTCGGTTCTCTAAAACGAACAATGGTAAGTTTATGAAAGTCTCACATTATAAGGTTGACTATTTGTGCCAAATAAGGGTACAAGTGTTATAAAAATCTAATTCAAAAAAGCTGGTGAAATCATACAAAATCTTATGTCCTGAACAAGTAAAATAAATTCTGTATATTTTTAGGTATAACATAATCTTCATATTGATGGTAAAAGTAATGAAAAAGTTTTAATATTCAAGGTGGTGCTCACCCCCTGCCACGTGGACCCAAGGGATAAACCATCAGCGCTGCTCAATGGTCAACGTTCCTCGCGGGGTCACACCCATTAGGACAGTGGGAGGGTTAACTAAAGGCGAGAGAGGATAAATTTAACTCAGGGTGAACCAAAAGCCAAAACAACAAACAAAAATACCCTTAACTTAAATAATCATCTTACCTACAAATGAAATGAAAAGAAATACAGCCAAACTTACCTCCCTGATTACAAACACAGGAGAAAACTGGATGGACATTTAAATGGCAGGTTCACCCCTACTTCCCTCAAGGTTAACATCAGATCTTTTTACACAACACTCTACACAGGGCACTAAGTGGTTGGTGGCAGGTAGGATGAGCGGAGACTGAGGATCAGCTGCAGGTGGTGTTGACGTCCCTCTTAAAGGTCTGCTCCCATCAATTATCCAATCAGGACACTCCCCAGGCCACTGGTTCACCAATCAGATGTGGGCACATGCACTAAGAAACATTATGAACACACAAAGCATCTCCCTGAATAAAACAACTTACAGCCCTTGGTCGTAACAATTATTCTACAGTGATGGTGTTCTAAAATGTACTAGATTATTCTAAAAAGTCTTATAATGTTCTGTATTATTCTTAATAAATATTTATTTATCTTGTTCGCGTTTTTTATTTTGGGATTTCATTTACAAGAACAGGGTGTCCATATTTGAGCACTTTTTGGTTGTTTTTTTTTTTGCATGAAAATCAAAAATTTTGAAAATTGTAACAACAAAGAAAATCTTTGTTATGTAGCACTAAAACACCCCGGGGTTGGAATTTCATGTTTTAAATTATTTACAAAAGGTCAACACCGGAATCCCATCCCATTGGTTTAGATTCTGCTTTCCCCACACACGTTCACTGCTTTCCACTAATCGGGGATCTACTGTCAATATTATGCCTGGATTTGCCCCCCGGGGTGCTTTTCCATGACATTTCAAATGGAATCCCATCAGACTGGAACCAGTAACAGATGAATCATGTCCTTTCACTGTAGGGTCTGAACTGCTGCTGTCGCATTAATGCAAATCTGATCAATGTCTAAATGACAAGTCATTAATTACCAGCAGACTGATGGCGCTCTTGTTACATACAGCGACATACACACTCTCCCATACAACAGCTGACTGACGCCTGCAGCTCTCGCTCAGTGGAAGGCTCAGCCACGGTCGTCAGCAGATTTACAGTCGGAGCGGGTGTTTGTCAGCATGAATCCATCGCTGCTGCGCACAACTTTATTGACGGCAGTAACCTGACATTCAATAGATCTCTGTGTGGGAAGCTTGCTGTTTTCTTGCACCTCTCAGTTGGAGTCACTTTGCAGGGACATGTACTATAGCAGAACGCTTGGATCCAACTGTTATTGGAATGCAAAAAAAAAAAAAAAACAACAACCTGTAAAGGCATTGTAGGGTTTGTCCAAGTACCTTGAGTTTTTAAACCAGGTTTGGTAATGCACGTTCTGTACGAATAACACGAAAATAGTGCTTTAATAAGCATCATGAATAAAGTAGCAGTAAAAGGGTTTCATGTCATAGCGTGGATGATAAACCGATTATTACTAAGATGTTCAGGACTCGGGTGGGGTTCTGTTAGAGCTGCAAAAATTCCAAAGCCAGCTGATTCTGTGACCAAGTAAACTTTTGTGCTGACTTGAGTGCTCGTGCCTCTCTTTGTAAATGCTGATCCACACAAATGCAAGGCAAAGGTTATGAGAAAACCATTGATGCACCGTTATATGTACAAGGGGCCCACTAAAATGACCCATGGGCATCTGGTGTTCTCCACTCTAATTTCCCATCCACTCCCAGTCAGGATTAGTTGGGTCAAATTTTGGATAATACGGCATGATTCCACATTTCTCAGTTCTTCTGAGTAGTTCTCATGGGTTCACGTTATGCCTACTTAGTGGGAAGTTTCTTCTATGTTGAATGACATCAGCGGCCTCATTAGAAGTGCTCAGCTGGTCGATCAGCGTGTGATTTCTAGGAGTTTTCTCTATGCCTCGGACAACTTGTTAATATTTTTGACCATTAGGTCCTTCCTTAGTTGTTCAAGTGTTTATGACTTAGTATATTAGAAGCTGTGTTTGTGCCACCACAACTATCTGATTACTGGGTTGCACAATGCTGACAACAAATAGTGAACAACATTCACAGATAAGTTCAGATCAGGCCAGAGAGGAAGTCAAACACGGGAACGGTGCAAAACATCCTGCAGCTTTCAAAATAAAAGACAACACATGCAGATATACTTGGCTATTAAATTACAAAAACATTATTAATTCAATTCAATTCAATTTATTTATAGAGCGCCAAGTTACGACAGGAGTCGTCTCAAGGCACTTCACATAATAAACATTCCAATTCAGGTCAGTTCATTAAGCCAATCAGAAATAATGTTTCCTATATAAGGAACCCAGCAAATTGCATCAAGTCACTGACACTAGTCAGTGACTTTACAGCAATCCTCATACTAAGCAAGCATAAAGCGACAGTGGAGAGGAAAACTCCCTTTTAACAGGAAGAAACCTCCAGAGAATCCTGGCTCAGTATAAGCAGCCATCCTCCACGACTCACTGGGGATCGAGAAGACAGAGCGCACGCGCGCGCACACACACACACACACACACACACAGACACACGCACGCACGCACGCACGCACACACACACACACACACACAGACACGCGCACGCACGCACACACACACACACACAAAGACAAAGTAATGTGTCTATAGTTATAATGTGATTTCTTAGTAAATATCCTATTTGGTGAAAAATAAACTTTATTGTATTTATCCTAGTGGATCTATAATTAAACGGATAAACTAGTATTAGCACATCCAACGTCAAGGAAACAAAAAGTTATTATCAGGAGAGGGAGAATGTTTAAGTGGTTAGCAGCAGTGTGTTAGACAATGGCCCCCTCCATGAGGCCACCACAGCTCAGCAGAACATCGTTGTAGCTTCTTCTGGGGAGAAAAACACTTAAGCCCCCTTCAGACAGGCCATGAAAAACGGAAATGTTCCGGACTCTGTCCGTAAGACCTTTGTGTCTGAATACAAACATCCGGATAACGTTTTCCGTAATTAAACCGGACGAAGCCCCTAGTAACAGGTCCGGACTTGTTACGGACAAGGTGGCTGCTTCAGACTGGTGAGGTCGAGTTCCGGACAGGGAGGAGGGGGAGGATGAGGGGACCGGGGGACGCTGTGCGCACCTAGATAGCTCGCTGCTGTAGCATGCAGCGAACCATGGCAGCTCGCCTTCTACGGTACCGTCTCCTAGACGCGTGACGAAGCGCATCACACCGCTTCCGAGATTCCTTTAACCATTGAGCTTCATCATCCAGGTCTCTTATGCATCTTCGTGTGCGCAGAATTACAGACCCCCGTCTGACATCTGGAACTATTCCTTTATGTGTGAACGCAGCCGAAAGGACAAGTTCCGGTACAAAAGTGGTGTGTCTGAAAACACAGTTCCTGTTAAAAACCGTATTGAATTGTCCACACATATTCCAGAATGTCTATCTGAAAAGGTTTTTAGAGAAAAAATAAAGTTAACAGCTGAAATTGCAGAAAATAATACAGTTAAAGAGCAGATTACATGTGAAACCTTTGTGGCTGAGGTAAAAATAACACAAAATACAACACAGACCTCTTGGATCGTCTTTCTCCTTGCTTGTTATTGGCGTTAACTGCCAAAATCCCATGTGATTTTGCAATTCTCATGTGATCTCACAAGACAAGCTGCATGGAATGCTTTCACTGTTGATTTGCATCTGGTGGAAAGCCCAGGTTAGTGTAGATTGTAAACAAATTTAGACAGAGTTTAGATACTTTGTAACTAAATTGTGGATTAGAAATCCGATCACGTGGCATTTAGAATGATTTTCATATGCGTAACTTGACTTGACCACGTCTGAGAGGTTTTGCACAAGTGTCGTGTCAGTTTGGAGTGATTCCAAGTCAGAATATGTAGTTTAACGTAATTAAGTCATTGCAGGCTTCATGCAACACATAAAAACAACTAACTTTTATATCTGTAAAAAAATGACTTTTAAGTTTTTCTTAGAAATACTAAAAATCTGTGTGTGAGCTACAGTTATTGCAGGTTATGAGGAAAAAAAAGGTCCTATTACTCTAGATTACATAATGATTCCCAAGATGCACTGAAGCGCCGCAGAGCATATTTGAGTGGGGAATTTTCTTCAACAGTCTCCTCAGTTTCAGGGTGAATACCCACCCGTGCAACTTCTTGCACAGAGAAGATGTCTTCTCTCATTTTTCACCCCTGTTGCATCAGAAAATATGCTTCTGTCATAGTTTCTTGTAAATTTAATGTAGCAGATGTTTCACAGCTCCAGATAGTGCTAGGTTGTTGTGTCTGTCCTCGCTGCCTGCAGGCGTTTCAAGCACACAGGTGCAAAGAAGGGAACATTCATATATTTACCACATTGTAGTGAACACACACATGCTGCTACATATGAGGTTTAACCACAGGATTTGCTAAATAAAAAGCCACAGAGGTGTTTCAGGAACTAGCCTTTAGCCAGATGAGTGGGGAGCTGAAGACGGCAGGATCTGAAGTCTAATTTCCTGATATTCAAACTCTGACTGGCTAACAGCAACATAACTTACTCCATTTGCTTAGCAAAGTTGGTGTTTTATCGCCACAAAAACACAAGCCTGAAGGAATTCTGCTGTGTGGCGGAGTAGTTAATGCTAATGGTTAGCTTCTACGAGCTGAGAGGTGCTCTACTCTCCCCTGGATACTAGATCAACAATGGCCTTCCCCTTCATGAGTCAAAATGGGTGGTACATGTATGCTAAACTTTAGTGTGATGTAGATCTGACTGGCTTTTCTGACCCGAGCGTTTCCCCGTCTGTTTCCTATTGGCAGCTAATGCAGGAAATAGAGGTAGAAGAGGAGGGGCCCCAGGACAGAGCCCTGGGGCACACCTGACTTGACTGGTGAGGGTTTTGAGGAAAAGGATTTTAAATGGATGAACTGATCATATTTAAAAAATAACAAGATAATACTGTTTCTCAGTGAATTTGCGCTCTAAATGTTTTTTTCATCATCATTATCAGTATTATTATTATTATATATTTAAAGGGGCATTATGGAAGTTTGATAGCCAAAACATGTATAGAAATAATAAATGTCTTCTTCATACATTCTCCTGCAATGCCCTGGTCCTGTAGAATGAGCCCTGGCATTTTTATTGTGATTGCCTGTTTTTCTGTAAAATCGCAGAAAAAGAGAGATGCTGACGGGGGTCAGCTTCACAGAGCTTCGTCTGTTATTTTCGTTAAGGAGTGTGCACGTACAGCATGCGCTCCTCGTGCACGAGCCTCCTATTGAAGCTGCCGTTACGCTTTTGGCCAGAGGGGGAAATCGCGAACATAAAAATTCAAAACTCCCTAAATTCCCTTTAAAATAGTTTTTTTTATTTTCTTAACTTTTTTTTAATTAACTTTTAAATTGACCCCTGTTTTTTTATTTATTGATTTTTATTCATCTGATGTCTATGTTTTCCAGAGATATCACTAAAGTAAAGCCTCCACGTTGCTGCTTTATGTGCTAAATTCTGTGATTCCATGTTTTTCCACTCTGTGGAAATTACAGAGCCCTGAACCTGAAGCAATCACGCTCCTACCCAGGGTTTCTTACATGCTGACAGGTTTCATGTGGTGATTTTGAAGTTTAAAGTTTGACTTTTAAATGTCATGACAACAGACAAGGGCAGCCTGGTCACTGCTGTCTGCTTCTGAACCCTCATCCACTCAGACACACAAAACAAAAACTACATTCTGTTAACACCAACTGTTTGTAAGTGGTATAATGTCCTAAAAAACACTAAAGTTACACCTATTCTTTTCAGAGAAGAATGTTTTTTCTCGTACACACACACAAAAAAAAGTTCAAATATCTCATTTTTGAATATCGGATTTATTCTACGGGATTAAAATCACAAACCCGCTCCTGATTCTGAACGTCAATTTTCCAGTTTAATTCACAAAGATTCATCATTCTGACAGGCGTTTTGTCCAAAGTACATTTGTTCTGACTTTTAAATTAAAAGCCTGATGGACACTCTGATCCATTTATCTTGACAGAAACGCTTTGTACTCAATATGGCGGCCTCACATGGAATATTTCAATTACAGATTTTCTGAAATGCTAAAAAACATTATCCAATTTTCCCCCCAAAAATAAAATAAACTAAGTTTCACTTATCAAAGGAATGTAATCCAATCAATTTTCAGCTGGACGAACTTCAAATACAATTTCACGAGGGTAAACAGAATGTGCAATGTTCAGTTATTTTTATTTCAAAACTCTGACGCAGTCTTGTTCAAATATTTAAACCAAACAGACGTTTCTAATTAGTCATGTATTGACTCTAATCAGTAAACAAGAAAAAACCTGTAAGGATGCAGCTCAGATCTGTCTAAACTCCAAGAAAGCACGGACAGTCACTATTTAAAAATAGACTGTGTGCACTTTTAACTAGGGATGGGTACCTATGACATTTGAATCGATCCGGTACTAATTCCCGGTACCTAGGAATCGATATCGGTACTTAACGGTACCAATTTTCGATACTTTTGAGTGTTTAATATTTTTAATTCTCTTTTATAATTAAATATATATTTTTGTCAATATATAACCATATTTGATAAATATCACGATAAATAACATACAACTGTTTGTATTTTAACATCGTCCTTGTAGTTTTATAAGCTGATAATTAAACTGAAGCAAACATCTTTACTGTGAACTAAATTTACTGTGTATCTTCATTCCTTTTACTGTCTTTTTTCAATTGAATTTTCCTACTGGGAAGTTAGAATTTCCGAGGAGAAAGCGAACGCACCATTAGCTGATAACAATGGTGGAATAGGAAGCCAACATATCAAGCTAACATAATCTTAAACATTTTATTTACCTACCGGAGCAGATTAAGATGAGGATGTCTCACGTAGATCGTTGTCGCTGGTTTCATCATCACCCAGTTACCCATCACATTTAGTGAAGAGGACCCAAGCTTTAGCGTGCGTTCTTTCTACCATGCTGCTCTGTTTACAACTCACTCGCAGCGACCGACGACATAACGCTCTTGCGCATGCACAGCTGTTTAGGCAAGTTCTCGTTGTGAAGGACGGGTACCGAAACGAGGCACCGTTTCAAATGGTGAATCGGTGCTCGGTCGGTACTATGGAATTCGGTCGGTACCTTAAAAAGTACCGAATTCGGTACCCATTCCTACTTTTAACCACATTAATGTTAAATTTGAATTAAACCAGTACTTGAAGAAGGAGGGAGATCTATTCACTTGATAAGAAGACTCTTGTTGTGGATGTGGGCTTTTCAGAGTTCAACCATATGAAATGCAAAATGAAGAATGAAATGTCAGTCCTTCCAAAACTCACCACTTTCCTCAGCTTAGTCATATTAGAATGAAATAAGCCAATTAATTATGCTGCAACACATTTTTTAGTACTGTACATAAATAAGTTGCTCCTTGCTGAATTCATTAATACACGCAATGCAAAAAAAGCCATTAACCAGTCGGATCTGAAGATGTAAACGTAGGTTATTGACTCACAAACACAAAATGATTGCATTTTTTAAATGAACAGACACCAACATATGTTTGTCACAACTGTCAGTGGGATTTGCAGAAAAAAATGTGTTCAATACGGCTGCACAATATATCGTAAATATATCGTTATCGTGATATCAGCATGCACAATATGCATATCGCAAAGAACAGATAAATATCGCAATGAATGGTCAGCTCAAATGTTTGCTACACATAACGCATTCTGTCGATCAAATGGAAGCATGATGTTTTTTTTAACGACTAAATAGAGCTCTTCACCCATTTGGCCAACTGGGTGGGTTCTTATAGGTTAGATGCCCGCTCCCGAGGCAGATGGCACTTAATTTTGATGGTTAGCAAACACCTGAGTGAGCTTTGTTCTGCTCTTTCTGCTGATTCTGCTTTTCCCTGGATCCACTGATTGCCTTTGTTCATTTTCTTTTTCCCTTTCCTCGCATCTTTTGCGTTTCTCATTTTTATGATTTTTTTATTTCTTTGTTTTGATTATTTTTCTTCCGGAGTTAAGTTGTTATTTATCGCAAGTAATATCGTCATCGCAATATTAATCATTGTTATCGAGCATTGCAGGTTTTCCTAATATCGTGCAGCCCTAGTGTTCAACAAGACAATTTCTAACCTTGCATGCTAACAATGCTGCAAATGACAAATTAATATTCACTAGTTCAATTAGCTTCACTTCAGCTGCTTCAAATAAATAAAAAAAAGACATAAAAAACCAGCTACAGCATGAGAGAAGAATCTTTTTCAGGGCTTGATTTTACATAATTTTGAAAAGAAATGATTGCCAACATTTACATTTAAATTATTGTGGTTTTTGATACAACTTTAAAACCGTGCTATGTGGAATGTGTAGTAATTAGTGTGTATTCCCTAGAGGGATTTGTCTGGATCTATGCATTTGTTTTTGCTTGTGAAAATACTTTTGTTGGGTTTTGAATTTACTTTCAAAAAGAAAAATACATTTTGTTGCGTGTCAGAAATACTGAAATAGCTCAAACATGAGATCCTGGCAATACAAAATACTGTATTTAGATGAAAGAATACAAACTATCTTAAAATGTAATTCGGAGTTGTCTTAGCATAAAATAATTCATTACGGCTAGTGTAGCTGTCTGTTTTTATATCCCGGTCCTTATTCTGTCCCGGTATGAGACCCAGCTCAAGCTCTCTAAAACATATTTTATTTACTTTTACTAGCTGTGGTGATTACTCTTCCTTTTTGTTTGTTTTGTTTTGCCATACTCCAGCTGAAGTGGGAGGCAATTTTCTAAATATTTGGGATGCTGTGTGTATTTGCAGAGCGAACAAGCCCTACTCACAGTAGGATCATTTTACATCCTGTGAGCCTCCCTCTAACTTGTAATTACTTCAGCAGGTTAATGTCACGCAATTCCCTCTCAGTGCTCCCTCTTACATGCTGCTCCTTTATAAGTCACACTCTTTCATAGGATTTAGGTCAGCTTGCGAAAAAGGAAGCGTTTTGTGAACATAGTCACACACATTCAAGTCAACTGGCGCTTGAATTTTTATTTGTGGCTTTCTAGAAAATAGATGTAGATATACGTCCTGTGTCTTAGCTTTTCTCCATTTTTGAAAAGCGAAGCCACCATATTGGATTTACATTTTATGTTTTAGGATTCTACATACTAAAAATGTGGAGCTAAAAGTGTAAGTCACTCTGCCATCAATCGGGGCGTTGTCTTAACATTAAATAATTCAATATTTTAAGGCAAAAATATATTTCAACAGACAGCAGCAATGCAAGATCTATGTCAACAGGAGAATAAATATGATCTGAGTTATGTTTTTAATTGTCTTCAGTCAAGAAAAGTATACTGTTTGTTTACGGGAAGGGGGTGGGACTTAAAACCTATACTGGATCCAGCCACTAGGGGGTTCTCGTTTTACCTGCTTCAGCGTCCGGGTTCCAGTCGATTGTATAGCCAATAAAAGCAGACCAAGAAGTTGATGTCAAATGTGGTATGAATGCGGACTTAAATTTTTATTTTGGAGTAAGACCTTACCAGTGGATGCCCATTAGGGTCAAAAAGCCCTGGGGAGTGCAAACTTCAGCAAAATAACGAGCACATCAGACCCCCTTTATCACTGGCAGCAAGTGAAGATGTAAATGTGTAAAACCACAACATTTAATAATGGCAAACGTTTTGTGGCAGTTTGTTACAAATCTGTACATGGATCTTGTCCTCATGGGCTCCCGTAGAATGGAATGTGGCATCTAATACCCTTTTTTTCATAAGAAAAACGAGACGCTGATGAGCTCAAAATAGCTCTTTGGTGACTAAAACATGACGAGAAGAACGGGGGTTTTCGTTAACGAGCCGAGACTAAACGAAAACTAAGCTCAAAATGCACATTTCTGCCTGTCTCACCAAAATTAAAAGTAACAACACTGCTGCTGTCTGTGTCTCAGCTGAAGTGGAATCTGCTCAACAGACCATCCTCAGCAAGTAGTGAAGTTAGCTCCCTACCCACACCAGAAAGCCCTAACCACTCTTATTTGAGTGGATTTCAGGTGTGGGTTGGAAGCCAACTTCAGCTTGGCTTAGCGCTTCCCTGCCGTAGGAACCAGCCGCTCATTGACGCTACCACGAGCGACGACGTTGCTACTTTTAAACACGTCCGTACTATTAACACGCTTCTTATCCACGTGCTTCCTGAAAAAGTCATATTTTTGGGCAGATAAATGAAATAAATGACGGTTTTTAACAGGTTTTATCTAAGACTAATGTTTTAAAGTCAGTGTGTCAGGATTATTGTCTCTGCTCTCTGGTTCCCAATAACAGGTTACATTCCTGCTTTTTAACCCAGCAGCACAACAATTTAAATGTTTATGAGTATTGTCGTTGATGCTCAAGTGCAGAACTGGGTTATTTATATTAATTCTGTAGGCTCATGAAAACTCACAACACTCTAGTTCTTTGGAAAAACATTACTGACACTAAGATGGAGGTCTGGTAACTCACATAATGAATTAAACAAACTCATTTCTTTATTTCTATATAATATTGTGTAGAATACTCTATGTGCTCCCCAAGAGTCCATTCTGTTAAAGAAAGAAAATAATACTTTTCTTTTGTAGAAATCTACAGAATGATACACAGATCTGCATCAATAAATGATATACATTATTTTGATTATCAATGAAGTAAAAAAAATGATACCAGTCTGGGGATTATTGTTTTACAAAATCTGGGGCAGATGAGATTGTGCCCCATAGCCATAAAATAAATGATGGTGGCATGAAACTCACTCCAGTAGCTCAGAGTACATGTCTGAGAATAATACTTTGTTTAATGTTTTGTAAAATTCTAAACAAAAATCTATGTCAATTAAAACCGACTGAACACTTTAAAGATTTAGTCAACTAAAACTGACTGAGACGAAAATGCATTTTTGTCGTTAAGAATAAGACTAAAACCAAGATGGCCACCAAAAACAACACTGCATCTAATATGGTGTTGTCCAGAGACTTGGACCCACTCCCGTGTATTTTAGACCTGATTTTTATGGTTATATGTTAGGAAGCCACCAATATTTTCCAGCAACTGGACACCATTTAATTATTTTTCCGCAACAGTTTAATGGATATTTCCAGAAATGAATGGTAAAAACTACACATTGTCTCTTTAATCATCAAAATTCTGTCAAATGATTGTTCTTTTGTTTTTGTAATTCATTGCCAACATTCATCTGTTCTCAGCAGCCACTGTTTTATGTTTTGAGTTTACATTTACATCATCAAATGCACATAGTGACATGACTACAAATGCATTTGCATACGGTGAAAACATTATAAATTTATTGTGCAATTCCACTCGTCTGTGACATAGTTTCTTGTGTGTTGATGTCAACTAAAAGCAAGTTTATATGGTATTGGATATCTGAGAGTATCAGATGTTTCTCAGAATCAATTTAAATCTCTTTCCTGCAAGTCTAAAATTGCTTCTAATATGATTTCTCTGTAAGAAGAAATTAAATTTGCATGGTGAAATTTAGTGAGAGATAGTTTTATTAGATTCCTTTTCATATGTGACTTCGAAAATTAATTGCTAGGAAACAGCAAAGACATTGTTTAGCTCTCTGAATATTCATTCGTCAGCTAATTTAAAACAAATGATGAAAACTTGCAACAACCAGTCAACCAAGAGCTGTTCTTAGTGCAGATTTTCTTTGTTCATTAGGCACAGTCTGCTTTGCTCTAAGCCTACAATTATCAGTGTATAACCAGAGGTCATCACTGGGCCATATTATTCTTCAGAGGAACAGCTAATAACACCTGAACAGCCATTCGGTCCAGGGAGTACTGTGATTAAGGTTCGGACTAGTCAGACGGTCCGGGGGGAGCCAGTCAAGCCGTTTGGCTGCTACAGTGGCACGATGTTGGTGCAATGCAGGAGAAGTCTATTTTTGGAGTGGTTGAGCAACAGAGCTGACAGCGTGGTTAGACACTGAGGTGTGAAGGTTTGGTTACGAGGATAGATGTCAAGAGTAGAAGTAACACACATACTGAATATTCTCCAACACACACAGACTGTTTATGTACAGTGACTTCTCTTCTTTTGGCTAAAGGCAGAACCTGAAATATGATATTTGAAAGCTACAAAGGTACCAACATGAAAATTGATCCAACTGTTTTATGTAATAGTCTAGTCGGCTGGACTGGTGTAATGGTCTCCTAACTGGTCTTTCCAAAAAGGCTGCGAAGCAACTGCAGCTTGTTCAGAATGCTGCTGCTAGAGTCTTAACAAGAACTAAGAGAACGGAGCACACCACTCCTGTTCTTAGTTCTCTACACTGGTTTCCAGTAAACTACAGAACAGACTTCAAAGTGCTCCTACTAGTTTATAAATCACTCAATGACACGGGGCCAAAATACTACATGTCAGATCTCATTCCTGTATGTACACCCACACCTGAGATCCCTTGGAAACAATCAGCTGGTAGAACCACGGGTCGGAACAAACAAGATGGAGGTGATTTTAGTTACTATGCTGCTCACATATGGAATCAGCTTCCCCTTGACCTCAGATCTGCCCCAAACAAAAAAAAAACTCATTTTAAATTTTAAAAGCAATGTTTCTTACGTTACATTATCTCCACTGCAATCTGTGCTGTAACGTTGTCTTCTCCTGTAGCTCTAAACTGTAATTCTATCCGTGTGTATTTAAATTTGTGTTTTTATGTTGTTTTCATATCATGTCCTGATAATTGTAAAGCACATTGAAGTGCCTCTGTGTCGGAAATGTGCTCTATAAATAAAGCTGCCTTGCCTTTTTTTTAATTCAAAGCTGTTGTAAAAATATAAACCATGTGGTTAATGAGAACAAGACCAATAATTCTAAATCTGATATTCTGACTGAGATGCCAACCCTAAATTTGAATATGTTCTATTGCATTAGTGCATAATAATTAACAGCTAAATAGACATCTAATTTGAGACGTGGCGCCCCTTTTGGGTGGGCATAGATTTTTCCAGAGATTACTGATAAAAACTACACATTTTCTCTTTAAAGGGACTTTACAGAGTTTAGAATTTTTATTAACCCCTCAGGCCAAAACCGTAACGGCAGCTTCAACAGTAGGCTCGTGCACGAGGTACGCATACTGTACGTGCACACTCCTTAACGAAAATAACAGCTGAGACAGTGTGTGTGTGTGTGTGTGTGTGTGTGTGTGTGTGTGTGTGTGTGTGTGTGTGTGTGTGTGTGTGTGTGTGTCTGTGTGTGTGGCCCAGAAGAGAGAGGACAGGAGAACGCGCAGCCAATTAATTAAATTATGTGGTTCTGTACCTTTCTCTTCAGCACAGCCGACAAAGGTTTATGATGGGTCAGTCCTCCTGCATGCTCAGATCATTCCCTTCCCTTGCTTGAAAAATTGTTCCAAAAGGAAAGTTGAACCCACATCTTTTTTATCTGTGAATTCAATGCCGTTCGGCGAGTCTCAAATAAAAATTTGGGCGTCTTACTGTAAAAAAATATACCATTAATGTAAAAAAGAAACTAAATAAACTATGTTCACATCCAGAATTGAACCCAGGTGTTCTGCATGGGAGTCATACATCTTACAAGGTGAGCTAAACTCCAGTAGCATTCACAGTATCTGTAACTTTTATATCCTTGATGACACCTGAAACAACGTCAAACCAAAGAACGGTTCGAAGCAAAAATGTCGATTTTGTTGCTAATTTGCAGGAAATATCTAGAAGAAAGTTCTACAGAAAGTAGCTAAGGGTCCTCAGAAATGTAGCTAAGTTCGTCACTAGGCGTTAGGAACAGCGACAAAGTCGCTGAGTTGGCACTGCCTCTCTCTCTGCTGCTAAAGCTACGGATAGCAAATGCTACGGGCTATGCCTGAGCGTGAACGCGCATGAAGCAGCCTGCTCGACCCGAGCAGCTCTTTTTCTGTGATTTTGCAGAGAAACAATCTCAGTAAAAATGCCAGGGCTCATTCTACAGGACCAGGGCATTGTAAGAGAATGTATGAAGAAGAAATGTATTGCTTCTATACATGTTTTGGCTGTCAAACTTCCATAATGCCCCTTCAAAGCTAATAGAAAATGTATTAAAAAACAAAAAAAGGCTCACCTTTTATAAAAATCCCAATGTTTCTTGTAGATATTTCTGTTGAAACAGCAATATGCAAATTAAAGTCTTTTAAAATGGTTAAACGATAACATTTAAACCAATAACTGAACTTTAGTCATTGATTTCTGAAATGTTTTATTCCTCAAATTTGAGGTAAATGTGTTGGATGCTTTTGTTTTTAAAGAAAAAGAAAAAAGAAGCAATGCAATGCATAGCTGCAGGCTAAAGTCTCCCAGAGTTACCACACGGAACAATTTGGTGTGCCACCCCAACATTTTCACTGCCCCTGGGGGCGCCACTGAAACTGAGTTTTAGTTGCCACCAGAAGAGCTCTGTGGCAGGGATGAGTTGGAAGAAAAGAATGGAAAGTGGATTGAACCTGACAAGTGAGCAGTGGAATTTTTATGACACTATAACTAGTTCACGCTCAGAATCTCGAACTTCCAAACACTCACACAGGGTGAGCGGTTGAGCTTAATTTGACGGACGCAGTACAAAGCTCTTATTGAAGAGAGCTGTGCAGCTTTTACGCTCCAATGGCAGCTGATCTGAAGCACAATGCTGGCAATTGACAAAGCACTTGATAATCATTGTCATGTTTAGCTGCAGTCGCGCATTCACATGTCTGGCGGTTTGTGGATGAAGACAAAGGTTACCGTGTGACCCCATTCACAGGGATTGTTGTCACTAAGTCAATGAGGCTGAACAAAATTTCTCACAAATGCTTCACTGGGTAAGATCTAAACACATGTTCTGCTATGTTTACTAGAACCAAAACAATCTGAGGTTTGAAGAATCTCATTTTGAGCAGATAGCATACTGTATCTGCACAAAACCTGAGAGGGACACTAAACTTAAAGATGCATAAGTTTAGAACAACATTAAAACAGATGTGCGTCACAATAATAGGGGTTAAATTATGGAACAATTTAGAAGAAGAAATCAAAGTAAGTACAAATATAAATGTGTTTAAAATGAATTATAAAAAACACATTCTGAACAAGTATATAGTGGAAAATCGATGATTTATGTGGGTGTCCTTTATTCTAAGGAAAAGTAAATTGTATCAATTGTAAAAAGATGTGTTTTTTTGTCTTTTTTGGGTTTTTTTTCCATATGGTTTGGTGGTTTTTGGTTTTTTTGGTGACTTGTACCATTTTGTTTGTTTTAATGTAGGTTTTGTGTTAGATTTAGTAAACAAGTAAAAATTACTTGTATAAAGGGGTAGGGACATATAAGTTTCCACTTCAGCCTACTCCTTTTCAAACAGAGAAGAAAGGATGATAATATGTATTTTTTCTGTTTGTGGTATTTAAAAAAAATTATGTATGTTTTCTTTGTTTGAAATAAACTAAACTAATTAAAAACATCCACTGGGGTAAATAAATACAAGGATTATAGTTTTAATACAGTATAGTGTTTGCTGTTATTGCAACGTTTATCTTCTTAGAACTTCAACTTCTTGGATTTGTTTATGAAAAAATAACACCTGGAAGTCTCTGAAGCATTCAGTTATTATTTATTTTTTCAGCACTAAAAACTCAAAACAAAACAGCTCAGTGACCTAGTGGTAGAGCGTCCGCCCTGAGACTGGGAGATCGGGGTTTGATTCCTGGTCGGGTCATACCAAAGACTTTGAAAAAATGGGACCCAACGCCTCCCTGCTTGACACTCAGCATTAAGGGGTTGGATTGGGGGGTTAAACCACCAAATGGTTCCCGAGCGCGGCCGTGTCTGCAGCTCACCGCTCCCCCAGGGGATGGGTCAAATTCGGAGAACAAATTTCGCACACACATCGGTGTGTGTGACAACTGATGGGACTTTAACTTTAACTTTTCAGTTTCTGGCTTTGTTATTTGTGTCAACACGACTTTGAATGATGTGACGCCAGTCTGAGATTCCAGTCATCGAGTCTTGAACTCTGTAATTATGTCTAGAAAAGCAGGAATGCCTTGTGCCTGAAGAATTTGGCAAAACCTACAACATGCGGCTCATCTATTCTCTACAAATATACATGTACATTGTTAATCAGAAGTGATGCATGTGCAACTAAGCGTGATTCCTACAGAAAATGTGCACAGTGTTTAGCAATTTTGTGTCTCCCAACTTGTCTTCAACAGTCAGCCCAGTGAGTTCTTGTTTTAGGCAACCTTTAAGTCCATGGCAAGGCAAAGCAGCCTTATTTGTATGTAACATTTCACACAAAGAGACAATTCAACGTGCTTTCCTTTAGCGAGAATATTGTGAACATTAAAATCAACGTGACCGCACAAATTAAATACACAAAACATTTAGATTAATACATTTCAGATTAAGGTTCAGAAAAAAGTCAAAGTTAAAGGGTGAGCAGTTACAGCACAGAAGGACAGGCATGAGAATCATTCATTCAAAGGCTGATGAATACATGAAAGTTTTCAATTTTGATTTAAAAGTGATGAGAGTTGAGGAAGATTAGAGTTCATCATGAAGCTGATTCTATCTGTGTGCAGCATAGTGGCTAAACACAGCTTCACCATGTTTGGCTCTGACCAGGGATTCTACCTAGGGCTTTAGCGAAGCCTCGATGACGTCGGCGGCTTGATTCTAAAAATTCGTCGACGTCAGATCCGGAAGTCGACGCACCACGCCCACTTGTTGCATCCCCAGGAGTTTGTAAATAGAGGAGGAATCTGCCTGTTTTTCCTCTAGTTCGCCCTCTTCTCCACCTTCACTAACATCTCCACCAAATACCGAAGAACCGGAACAATGTCCGTCCACTACTAGATTCCTTTCCTGTTTTGCCCGCCTTCGTCTCCCGGCAACGGACAACAACTTCCGGGGTCAGATGCGCTGCTTCGTCTCTACCGCAGATGTAGAAAATCACCGGGAGCGTTTCTCCCTTCATAAAGGAGCTTCTATCAGACATTAGGAGAGCCTGAAGAAGCCGGCAGCTGTCGGCGAAACCATAGCTAAAAACAGGTAAACAAAATTAGGAGAGCTGTTTTTGTGGTAGCAGTCTCTCCTCCGTGCTGGTCGGTGTGCTGCTGGGTGTTTTTGGTTTATTTAAACTTGGTAACCTGAACTTAGCGTTGGTAAAGCTACTGTTAGCATCTTCGCTAACAGCTTCTTGCGTTTGGATAAGCTGTTACGTTTTGGTTTAGAGTTCATCTTTTTTGTGGTGCAGATCTCCCTTTTATTACATTTAGAGTGTCGTGGGTTTTCGGTTTAGTTTAAAATATCACCTTGAGTTTGGTTTAACCGCTCAGTTTAGAGTTTGGACTTTTGGAGATCCTTATTTTGGTCAAGAACCCTGTACTCTTTGCCCAGTGGGACATTCCTAGTTATTTGTACTTTTGTTTTAATTCCCCACAGGCAGAATTAGTTTTATTATTCCCAACCTGTGGATGGAAAGATTTATGTTTGTTGTTGTTGTAAATAAACCTGATCATCATTTTAACTTTTAAATCCCGTGTTATTGTCCCTTCCTTTTTGCACACGAGCCAATCTCCCCAGGAAGAGTCGTAACACCACTCGCCTCACGCTCATAAGTGACCAAAACAAAGCAGCATGGACACACTCCGTCTCCAACCAGCTCTCAGGCAGCAGCCTGCACTCCCAAGTTCTACACGTCACCAGAACATAACCAACCGCAACACAATAAAAGCAGTGTTATACAAAATGCAAGGCCTGTAGAGTTTATTCTCTTACAGTAACAATTTATCAAATTTTTGAGAAATTTATCAGAGATTTTTGGTTTTTATTAACTGTGCAACAGAAATATAATCATTAGATTAATTGTTTAAATAGTCATTAGAATAGTCGACTATTCGATTAAATAATTGTCAGAATAATCATATTAAAAATAATCGTTTACCCCAGCTCTAGTTCTACCAGCTGAATTTATCCTTCCTAAGGATCTCAGGGCCCTGCTTGGTGTATATACCTGAAGGAGATCCAACATGTACTTTAGCCCCATGATATGGAGTGATTTATGAACTAGTAGAAGCACTTTGAAATGGATTCTGTAGTTTACTGGTTATGGTACATGTTTATTTTAACTTTTGAATCTAACGACGAGGTTTTAGCAGCATCTAACTGTTTATCTGTATTTTTGCTTTACTTTAGGTAGACTTGCAGCTACTCTGTGTCATGACAATAAATGAGTCAGGGAGGAGAGTTGATAGATTCTACCACCTGTTTGTAGATATCCTCACCAGATGGTGTTCGGGTGAAGACTGCCACTAGTAATGGATCACTGTTACACGTGCCCATCTGTACTGCCTTATGAACCCCTCAGAGCAGACATAACCATTTAAAATGGAGCTCTTAACTGGGTGTTTAGGACACTTTCAGACTTGGATGGTGGCACATGATTCATTAAGGGCATTGCTGGACGAAGATCTTAGTGTTCTTGAAGTTGAACTTAAAGGGACATTATGGAAGTTTGACAGCCAGAACATGTATAGAAATAATAAATGTCTTCTTCATACATTCTCCTGCAATGCCCTGGTCCTGTAGAATGAGCCCTGGCATTTTTACTGTGATTGCCTGTTTTTCTGTAAAATCACAGAAAAAGAGAGATGCTCGGGTCGAGCAGGCTGCTTCATGCGCGTTCACGCTCAGGCATAGCCCGTAGCATTTGCTATCAGTAGCTTTAGCAGTAGAGAGAGAGGCAGTGCCACTTTGTCGCTGTTCCTAATGCCTAGTGATGAACCTAGCTACATTACCGAGGACCCTTAGCTACTTTCTGTAGAACTTTCTTCTAGATATTTCCTGCGAATTTTCGCTCCGAGCCGTTCTTTGAACATTGTTTCAGCTGTCATCAAGGATATAAATGTTACAGATACACAGGACGTCACTGGCACTTTAGCTCACCTAGTAAGACATCAGACTCTCGTGCAGGAGACCTGGGTTCGATTCTGGATGTGAACAAACGTTATTTAGAGTTCCTTTTTTTACATTAATGGTATATTTTTTTTACAGTAAGATGCCCAAATTTTTATTTGAGACTCACCGAACGGCATTGAACTCACAGATAAAAAAGATGTGGGTTCAACTTTCATTTTGGAACAATTTTTCAAGCAAGGGAAGGGAATGATCTGAGCATGCAGGAGGACTGACCCATCTTAAACCTTTGTCGGCTGTGCTGAAGAGAAAGGTACAGAACCACATAATTAATTAGCTATGTGTTCTCCTGTCCTCTGCAAGCCCCCACAAAGCGGCTCAAAAATTGAGGCCAGCCCGGAAGTACCAAAAATTGCAGTTCCACCCTCATCCGCTGGGGGCTGGTTTCAGAAGCGAGCAAATCCTCATTGACTCCCATGTTAAAAATACCAATTTCACAGCAGAAATAAACATGTTTACAGCCTGGTACCAAAACATGTTTTTTGTTTAAATTATCTAGTTTACACTCATGACAACTCTGAGGGGGGTGAATTTTTTTCTCTCTTCTGTTTAAGTAGAATTTTGAATTTTTTCTCTCTCTTCTATTCTTACCCCCTACTTCACACTGGAAGCATCAGCGGAGTGGAATGGCAGCAGAGCGTCACTGCTTCAAAAGAATCCAGTCCATGGACTATAGTCTATGGGGGTGATTGGAACCAGCAGAATGGGCACACCATGCTGCAAAAGATAGGATCAAGTTGTATGTTTTTTTGCAAACCGCTTCTGAGACTCGACAATTTCCGCAGTCAACATATGACTAGACAGGAAATCACATACAGTTTCAGTGTAAAACCCCTGGTAATTTTCAAAATAAAAGACTATTGCAGCAATGCAATTCATATCTATGTAGATTATGTCTATATAAGTGACCTAATGGCTGATTTACTCCCAGCATTGTTCCAGAAGTGCAGCAGTGTGTTTTTCATGGCTTGAATCCTGGCAGTTGACAGGAACAACATCATATGACATCAAACAGTGATATCAAACTCAATTCCCTTCATTTTGCTTTAATGGCGGATGGCCATAAACAAACTGTGACCTTTAAAGTCACGAGGGATTTTGTGATTTTGCAAATCCAGCGAGGAGCACGGCAGAGAACGGCTGAGATTCTCACAGTGAGTAATGGCGCGCAGCAAAAGTCATGAGTAAAATGTTTCGCTGCCGTTCCACTCCGCCGATGCTTTCAGCGTGAGGTAGGGGTTAGACATTGTCCTTTTACTTTTAGGAGTTTGACCGTGTGCAGAGTATTGGAGAATTCAAATATCTTGTGCCAATGAAACACAGCAGGTGAAACTAGATTTTCTAAAGAAATTATGATGTTTAAAGTACAAAATCTATATTGATTTGACATGAAACTGAATTTTAATTACAAATCGGCACATTTTTGGTCATCGCGACCATGACAGAAGTTTTTTGACCTAACCTGTATGTGTAATTACACATTGACCAGATCCTTTCTCACTCCCTCCCATCTGTCTTTTGGCCTGCATTAAAATCAAAGGATCAGAGAAACCTCTCCACTCAACAAGTGAGTAATTTTTCTACCACTTAAACATTCTTCACATTTGGCAGAATGGCCCTTGAAGCCTCCATGTCCCTATTAGATGTGGGAATCTAATTACAAATATCTGATTTGAAGGGAGAATGAGTTAACCTTTGCTTAAATGCCACTGCATAACAATCTGTGAATGGCAAGGAGGAGGACCGGGCCCGAGGCATTTCTGCAGCAACAAAAAGAGTGACAGACAGTCGTCCAGCCTCAAGGGAACAAGCACATGAAGCTCAGTTTTGCTTCACGCTCTGGAGAGATTTATTCCCCTTATTGAATGCAAAGTATGTTGTATTTTTATATAGAGGTGACTATTTAGTAATTATACCACAAAATTAGCTGAGATTTATTTAAACCTGCTTTATGCTGCCAATGCAAATCAAAGTTTTAATGTGATTAGATATAAAACACAAGAAACAGGAGATGCATTGAATTTGTTGTTGCTACAAAACAGACATTCTGTAGGTTTTACAGGGTCTGTTGCTCAGGATGAAAAACCGTCATGCTGCTGCAGGGCTCTGCTGGACCTGTTTTTATGAGTTAACTGCAGAGGCTGTTCAACCTGCATTCTCTGGAAAATCGATCTGCAGAAAAATGAAGAAAAGTACTCTGCTAAATGTCAGTATACATGAAATCAATATATACTTGTTCCGCCGTGTATTCCGGCCTCCCTCCCTCTCCGCCTGATGTCCACTTATAGAGACGGACCACTAATGTAATGGAAAAAGGCCTACTGATTCGAATATGATGTGATGCTTTGTAGATGGAAACGAGCATCGTTCTGCTTTACAAGCTGGGGTCACAGGAGATGAGATGTTAATACTGTTCCAGGGCTTTACGGCTGCTGCATGTCGTGGTGTTGGCTCTGTAGGCACATATCGTTGTTTCAAGGATTCTACGCTTGTGCGTCACGACTGCATTCATGCTATTGTTCATGAATCTTACCTTGTTCCGTGTTTGTTGCACTTTAACTCCTTCATTTTGTTTTATTTTTTGTCCTCACAAGAAGAATATTTTTTCCCTTTCTGCGGATGTTGGTATGTAGATCTCATTTAACCTTCTTGTTCCAGTATCTTACTTTCTGTATAATTTACATCTTTGTTTATCTGCAGATTGTAGTTTATTTTTTTTTATCTTCTTGAAATATTTTAAATGAGCAATCAAATTTTAAAGGTCAACTTCACTCAAATAACCTTTTTTTTTTTAATTATTAGTTCTGATTATAATCGGTCACTCTTGAGGTTTTTCTGCAAGCTAAACATCAAACTGTCTCCTACACCTTGTGTAGGGTTGTGGGCGACGGTGGCACAGGAGTTAAGTGCTCGCCCCGTAATCGGAAGGTTGCAGGTTCGAGCCCCGCTCAGTCTGTCGTTGTCGTTGTGTCCTTGGGCAAGACACTTAACCTACGTTGCCTGCTGGTGGTGGTCGGAGGGACCGGTGGCGCCAGTGCTCGGCAGCCTCGCCTCTGTCAGTGTGCCCCAGGGCAGCTGTGGCTACGTCGTAGCTCATCCCCACCAGTGTGTGAATGTGTGTGTGAATGGGTGAATGACTGATTGTGTTGTAAAGCGCCTTGGGGGGTTCCAGGACTCTAGAAGGCGCTATATCAAATACAGGCCATTTACCATTTACACCTACCTCCTGCGTTAGCTTCTGATAGGAAATAGATGGTGAAACTCTAGGATTTGAAAAGCCTGACAGATCTACATCACACCGTCACTTAATATTCGTTGACTCGTCCATTTTGACTCACGACGAGGCTGTTTTCAGTTTAGCGTCCAGAAACAGCAGAGAATGTCTAACTAGTAGAAGCTAACCATTAGCATTAGCAACTCCACCACAAGGCAGAACTCCTTCAGTCTTGTGTTATTTGTGGAAATAAAACATCAACGTTGCAGAGCAAATGAAGTGAGTGGTAGAGTTGTGTTACTGTTAGCCAATCAGAGGTGAGATGTCCAAATAGCAGCAAAAAATAGTCCAAATCAGGTTGTGTTCTGCCACTTTTGGACTAACGGGTGCACCAGAGCTTTTTCCCCCAGAGTATGATTTACAAGGCATTCATTCCTACTAGAGACCACTGCAAACGTTTTAAAAGTATTAGTAAAGTTGAGCTTTAATGTCAGACTATGTAACCTGAGTGAATACAAAATGTATTTTTGAATGACAATTTGATTTTTGAAGGTGGATATTGAGAGGGACAGCAGTAGCATGGGGTAATGGTCAGAAATTCAACTGGATCCTTATTTAAATAAATGTTCCCGTGCATGGCTCTATATCACACCAAACACAGTCAAACATGGTGGTGGTAGTGTGATGATCTGCCGTTGCTTCAGTACCTGGACGATGATGAAACCATGATTTTTGCACTCTACCAGAAAAACCTGAAGTCTATCCAATCCTGCAAGGGAACAATGGGACAAAATTCCTCCACAGCAATGTGAGAGACTCGTTGTTGCTGCCAACGGTGTTGCAACCAGTTATTAAGTTTAGAAGTCAGCTGCATCCTCACGTTGGGCTGGGTTGGTTTAAATATCTTTATTCCTGTAATAAATTAAATAAATAGAAAAATGCATTTTCTAGCTACTCAAGTTATCTTTGTCCGATGTTGATATGTGCTGATTTTAAACGTTTAAGTGTGGAAAAAAGAAAGAAAAAAAAAAAGAAGTAATGTGTAATGGAGCAAATACTTGTCCACAGCACTCAATAGTTATAGAAGTTATGTTTATAAAATAAATAAACAACATGGATCCTGGTTTCTGTAGTTTTATCTTTTAGACAATTTAAACCAAAACATTTTCTGCTTGTCAGCTTGGCCCTCAAACACTCTCAAAGCAACCCAATTTCGCCAAATAGACCATTCCATCTCCGTTTTCCCACAGCCTGTTTCCTCAAACGTCTCGCGCTTGCGGCGGGTGTAGCCGAAGGTGCCGCCTCGCAGGGGCTACGCGGTGGTTTGACTTTTGGCAGGAGTTGAGAAGCTGCTGACGCGTTTGTTGGGCAGGATGTGTGCAAGACGCAGTGCTGGATCCTGTTTTTCAGACCGCAGCAACTGGAGCCATGGTGTTTTAATGCAAAACACACACCGACTCAACCTTAAGTGTGCTAACCCCTAAACCTCGACTCATAACATCCTTCAGTCACACGACGCACACGCCCAAATTAAACGTGTGCACGCAAAGCCACTCACGCACATGCAAACACGTAGAAAACCTTGACTGATTCAGACATTCTAACGCTCCTCTTCTGCCAGAATCTGCAAATGTGAAAACATTACTCAACAGCATCCTGCTTGACAGGTTCCTTTAGGCAAACATGCTTTGATAGAACCCCTGCATGTTTCTCTTGCCAGTCATGCATCAGCTGCATGTTTTACATGGGCATACAAGTGCGGGGGGGCAAATAAAGGGCGTTTGTGGCGAGCAGGCATGCAGGTTCTGGAACCGGACAAGTTTAACGAAACCAGCTGACAAACCGAGCGATGTTCGTCTTCCTTGCATCACAGTGACGACGCAGACATTCTGCTTCACAACGCTTTTATGCTAATCGTGCAGATCTGTTTGTCTGAATGAAGCCTTAAGAGGATCAACTGGTTTAGCTTACTGAGTACTACAGGCACACCTATTACAGAGTCAGGGCATCCCACTAGGTGGAGGGAGGGAGGAGGGAAGGGGAGAAAGACAATCTGCAGCAAGACAGAGAGCAAGGGAGAAACTGAAGAGACGCTTTGCTGTTTTCCTTTTTCCTTTTCTCTTTCCCTTCCCTTCCGTCTTCTTTATCTCCCTCACTGGGAGGAGGAAGAGGCAGACACAAAACAAGAGAGACAAAAGGAGGCAGAGCGGAGAGAAGGAAGCGAGCCTGTGAGTGACTCTGTGTGTAACATGCTCTGTCATGCTGGTGTGACTGCCGCTGCCGCTCCGACCAGCGTCACTGGCTTTCAGGAAAAAGGAATGTTTACCAGACAAATGACTCCCTGAACCGGTTCACCATGTGGATGTGGGACAGCAATTTCCAAACCTTGGCAGGAAGAATCCCACGGAAAAAAGAGCAGCGGCGGGAGAGCTTGGCTGGTCCTGCTGGGTGGCCGCCTGCGTGTTGGCACCGCTGACATCGACTTCCATCAACTTTTTTAAATCTTTTTGTTTTCCGTCACATTCATTGGACATGTTCTCTGTTCTTTTCGGAACTCGTGGGCTTGTCCGGTGCTGCGTTGTTTGAGTTTTTTTAAAGTGCCTTTTTAAGGAAAACTTTTTGAAGCGATGCCCCAGGATCAAGAAACTGGACGTTCTTAGCTTGAGGACTGGTCTAAATGTACACAACGCAGCCAAGGAGTTTGCTATGGAACCGTGGGGCCTGCAGACCCCGTGGAGCAGCATCTGCTCATAGATAGCTAGAGTTAATACATAAGGGTGCTGAAAAGAGGTTGACATTAGGGGGATCAGTCCAGCCAAAGCTTCAACATGAAGCCTGGACAGTCCCATGGCGTTCCCTGTGATAGCTCCATGATGCCCCTCAGCCACTTTCCCATCAGACGGCACTCCTGGATTTGGTGAGTAACACCAGAACCAAATCTGTCACTCTCTATATAGTTTGTGTTCATATTTAAATAAAAAAGTTATGACTCTTTTTTTGCTTTAATAAGAGTATTATGAGCTTCTTTGTTGCCCGCCCAGTGATTTCTGTTTTCCCAAGCTTTGCTCGGATGTATTTGGGGAAATTTATTGTTAAACGGGCCAGACATTTCCTGTCATTTTCTCCCACACTAAATGCTCCAGTTGATCTCAAAAAATCTCAAGGGCAGGTCAGAAATAGCAAGCCAAGCACACAGAGGTGTTGTAACGCTACATCATAAAGCTGTTAAAGAGAATACAGCTAACATTGGGATGTTTAGGACTTTTTCAGAGGTCCTTGGTTAATTTTTCTTCTGTTTTGGTTTGGTATATATAATAAAAATGCTTCTCTCTCAGCTGTGGAACAAACCGGTAGGTATGCGGGGTCAGTGATGTCCTCAGAGGGGAATGTTAGGACGTGGACACTGTTTATATTCCCAACAATGTTTTTCCACTGGGTTGAAATGTTCCCGCGTATTCAGGTGTTGTTTCCTCAAACAAGCGGCATTGAACTTGTTTGTAATGAGATGCCACGCATGCTCGCAACGCCTCACTTGTTACAGCTCAGGCTTTTTGGTCATCTTGTATATTTTGTTTTATAAACACTAAAAGCCAAACTGTGTCTTAATTTCCTGTTATGTATCGTTTTGCACCGGTGCACTTTAGAGCACGAGGATCCAGACAGATGATCTCTGGATTGCATGCACTTAACAGTTTTTGGCACAAATTCACTTAATTTAATCTCAATGGGCAAACTCGGTCCGTTATTTGACTTTAAAATTTTAATACAGCATCGTTTTTAAAAAGGTATCCAACAGGATTAGTGATCAGCAGAGAGAATAATGAAATCTGTAGAGAATCAGTTGAACTGTAAACAGACGTCATCAAACTCAAGAAAAACATACATAAGTGTATCCACCCTTGAGACACGCACGCACGCACGTGGGCACACACACACACACACACACGGAGGGTCAGGAAGCAGAAAACATAGAAATTATTCTCCAACGTCACAAGAGTTCCTTTATTTTTAACACAATTTCAATGCTAAATCCGGTATTGATACTGCGAATAATTGATCAAATTCTGTATAAATAATCTATGCGGGAAGTCATTTAGAAGCTGCTGGAATGTGTTGCCAAATTGGATGGATGTAGAAAATTTAGTTCCAGTGTTGCAACAATTCATTCCTGTCACAGACGTCAGATTCGAGCATTAGTCTTGGAAAAGGAAAGATCAGCCTGTCAAACTCCATTTAGATCCCAGGCATTACATTTTCTCCCTTCTCTGCACAGTAAATCTATGTATCATGTGACTGACTTTGTGTGTGTGTGTGTGTGTGTGTGTGTGTGTGTGTGTGTGTGTGTGTGTGTGTGTGTGTGTGTGTGTGTGTAACAGTATAAAGGAGCTTTCAGGATGACTTCTATTATTCATTGCACCTTGATAATGGACCCATCTACATTCTGTCTCTGTCAGACCAACCAAGTAGCACTGCGAAAATGAGGCTTAGTTACAAAGAGAAGAATTAAGTTCTGGTAAAAAAAAAAACGTGCATTTATTTATGTTCTCAACATGACGATACCAACGTCAAGCTCTTGTTGGTGGCTAAAATAAAACATAAATGGGGTTGTGGAGTTCAGATGATCACTGCAGAGGATCAGCAGGCCTCACAACAGCTGCCTGTTAAAGGTATTTTTGCACTCAGGATCATAAATCAACCATTTTCCTACAAGCAAGTATTAAGTATTACTGAAAAACATTAATTGAAACATACAGAGGTTAAACAAATTCAATGAAATTATCTTAATTTTATTGTTTCAATGCCAAATATATTAAACACTTTTAAAGGCGTGATTGGTTGAAAAACCATGGTCACTCTGAGTTCCTCATGCAGGCTGAACATGTAAACAGTCTCCTACTTCTATCTCCTGCGTTAGCTTCTGATAGAAAATAGGAGGTGAAATGCTAGGATTTGAAAATCCTCACATTGTGATGTCACACTGTGAATTTGCATTTATGGCCTCACCCATCTTGGCTTGCCCCTGCCTGCAGGGATTTATTTTTGTACTTTTGATACTGGTGATAATGACTTTGCAACATGACTGAACGTGCTCTGGTAGCCAATCAGAAGCGAGGTTGTTGCATATCTTTAATAATAATGAGCAATTCTGCTGATTTCAGCCCACCTCTGCATCAACAAACGTCTGCATCTCAGAACAGAAGCATCATAGCTTTTTTTTATTACTTGAAAGGCATTGATTTACACTAGATAACACTGCAAATGTATTAAATAAATGACCAAACCACACCTTTAAAATATAATTTGAATGTTTCAAAGTAAATCTAAACAAAGAAAGTTTTAAGGTTATTCAAATATAAACAGATTCTAGCTACAACATTTTCTATCATTGGGGTTCTTCATGTGATTTTGTGAAAAGTCTGTAAAAAGTTAGTAGAAGCAGCTGTAACTAAAACGTGAGTAATCATTTTCTTTTTTCTGATGAATAAAACTCGTACATTTAGCAAGATTTTATGATTGAAAGTGAAATGTGTAATTATGAGCTGAAATATGAACCGAGTTGTAAAAATTAAAGATCTTTCTAGGACAATTATTTAAATAATAATTTAATAAAATAGGACCAGGTTTTTGGTTATTCTTATTTGGATTAATCCCGTTGAGATGTGCTGTTCAATAGAATTGCATGAGCAGCGCGATAACTAAAATAATATCTAATCGTGTTAATAAAGCATCTGATTGACCCCTTTGCTTCTATTCTACGTGGGAAATGTTAATCTATAGAGGATTTTAGCTGTGTTAAAACGTTTTAACCCACATTCTGATGCTTGATGTTGCCTCCAGCCCTGCGGTTAATAAACTGAGATGCATAATTGTCTAAACTCCATTAAACACAAGCCAGAAAGGAGAAGAAAAGTGTGTGTGTAGTAATCTAATTAAGTGAATCCAGTGCCTCCGAGTCCATGGACATGGAACAGACAAGTCCATATTTAGAATAAAGATTGTAAATGCCGTGCTGCATGGCTCCACTCTCGTCCATCGTCGGCCTTATTGTGGCGTCGGTGGATGAGAATTGATTTAAACATAAAATATCTAATTGGAACTGTTATTTCATTTCATGGCGGCTGCTCCCACAGCGCACCATTTCTGGCTCGGTCTCAGCCAAACTTTCCATTACTTACCAAGCCATCGCGTTGTGACCGAGGCAGACTCTCTAAAATGCACTTTTTGGGTACAGCGGAGACCTGCTGTCAGATTTCAAGGGATGCAGTCATCGCTCAGTGTTGTCCCAGGGAACCATCTTCAATTACTGTGTGTGTGTGTGTGTGCGTGCGTGCGTGCGTGCGTGCGTGCGTGCGTGCGTGTGTGTGTGTGTGTTGGCATGAGATACAAATCTGCTCCTCACTTCCAGCATCAATCTCTGCCAGCCCTGCTGCTGACTTACACCATCTTATTAAGGGTGCTACCCATTCACTCCACCTGAAAAGGCCACACAGTCTAACACTTCTTTCCTCTAAACACTTGTTCTCACACTTCGTCTTCTCACATAGACCTGGCTGCCTTTGTAGGAATCATGATGAATGAAATCATTGATACCAGCTGGGCTTGCATACAAAGAATGGATTATTTTTGCATTTGATGACGCGGGGATGTTAAAGGGACTTTACGGAGTTTTGAATTTTTATGCTCGCGATTGCCCCCGCAGGCCAAAAGCGTAACGGCTGCTTCAATAGTAGGCTCGTGCACGAGGCGTGCATGCTGTACGTGCACACTCCTTAACGAAAATAACAGCTGAGACAGTCCCGTGTGTGTGTGTGTGTGTGTGTGTGTGTGTGTGTGTGTGTGTGTGTGTGTGGCCCAGACGACAGGAGAACGCGCAGCTAATTAAATAATTTGGTTCTGTACCTTTCTCTTCAGCACAGCCGACAAAGGTTTATGATGGGTCAGTCCTCCTGCATGCTCAGATCATTCCCTTCCCTTGCTTGAAAAATTGTTCCAAAATGAAAGTTGAACCCACATCTTTTTTATATGTGAATTCAATGCCGTTCGGCGAGTCTCAAATAAAAATTTGGGCATATTACTGTAAAAAAATATACCATTAATGTAAAAAAAAAAACTCTAAATAAACTTTGTTCACATCCAGAATCCAACCCATATCTTCCGCACGAGAGTCTGACGTCTTACTAGGTGAGCTAAAGCACCAGTGATGTCCTTTGCATCTGTAACAGAACTTCTGTAGAGGCTTGCTAATCATCTGTGCATCAGGTGTGTTGGAGCAGTGAAACATCTAAAACATGTAGGACAGTGGCCCTTGAAGACTAGAACAAAGACTACACATTATGTAATGAATTTCACAATGTTGTCAAATTACAAGTGATGCACATTTCCATGCTGATCTGGTGGATGCTTGGTCTCCTCCATGTTCACACTGAAGTGCTCAAACACACACAAACCAAAATATAATTTTATTTACTTATTACACTACACCGTAAAATCTACTTAACTATTCCAGAACAGCACATTTAAAAGAAATCTGATCAAGTAACACTGATCCTCTCAAAAGGAGTGACGTATTCAACTAGATTGGATTTCAGCTACACTCAAACTTCTCATTGTGCGTTGGCGCTGGGATTTTGCTCAATCGGAAGCTTTTGTTAGACCGGCTTTTCCAGACAAAGCTTTGCAGTGTTAAATGAAATAAGATGTTACTTGGAGCATAACAGACTCATCCTGACTGGGTTTAATCTGCACACAGATGCTATTTTAAGACAAAAGCCCACTGTTTCACCTTCCTTCTTTTGGAAGTCATTCCTCTGTGAAATTATCTGTTTTTTCGCACCTAATTTTCACAGCTAATGGTCAGTTTAGCAGTCGGTGTGATATTCTTATTTTTTTAAGGCGGTGAGTCATTTGTTGCTGGCA